GAGAAAGACAACCACACACACTCACACCCACTCCTACAGGCAATTTAGAGTCACCAGTCAACCTAAGCTGCATGTCTTTGGACTACGGGAGGAAGCCGGAGTATCCAGATTTTTTTTTTTTACTTAAAGTTTACCAGTGCCTGTATGTAATCCACTGCACCCTTGGCAAACAACCAGCTGTTGAGCTTAATCGGATTGCCTCAGTTTGAAGACAACTCTGCAGAATTAGCCAAGAACCCGTTGACTTTAACTTGACATTGACTCTTTTTCCATAACTAAAAGCGGTAACAATAAAGACTGTATACTACTGTAACTCTCTTGTCTCACATCTGCTGAAGGAGGAACATCATATGCATGGCAATGTTTGAGAATGTCAGTACTAATTTACCACCAGCTAAATGATTTATGCATTCTTTAAATAATGTGTGGTAAAAGAACAGAGAGTTTACTGTAACTCAAAGGTTGCTTGGCTTCTTTCCAGCACATTCTGGTAGTTAATTATTTGGTCTGTACTATGTATATGTGGGTCTGAGTGTACACTTTTTTATCCACATACATGTAGCTTTGAGGTTGGGTTTCAGATTTCAGAGTGAGTATGATTTTGTGAAATGGTCATTGTGGCCATTACAGATAACCTTGTTTAGAAACATCATTAACTATAATAAAGAATGAAATAGTCTTTCATACTGGCTCAGTTTCTTAGAAGTGACTGTTTTGACTTTAACAGTGATAGAGGAAAATGTGCTTTTGTCTTCTTTGTATTTCACTGAGGAGAGTTTTGTGCTGCTAGTCTGTAGTTTACAGGTCAGCTGAGGCAGTAAAAAAGTTTTCTTTTTTTTTTAAATCTGTCTTGCAGTAATAATGGGACTGGTTGTCATAGAAATGGAAACTTTTCTTTTTCATCAGCTCCTTTTAAGTATGTAATAAATTTGTGTATGTTCATATGTCCTCTGCATGTGCAAATACATATACTGTATGTGTACTGTTTGTCTCTGTGTTGTGGGTTTGTGCAAATTTTGTGTCTTCTGGACAAAAATCAATCACTATATACATAACATTTACATTCCAATAGCAAATGCTAATCTTGTGACAATAAAGTTTATTGAATTGATTTTTTTTTTTCAGACCAATTTAATTCCCTCTCTTTGTACTGCAGGCTGCTGGCACCTGTCCAACACAGTTCACTGTACTGTAAAGCTTTTAACTGCAGTCAGGCAAGAGGTCAACCAAGAGGACAACTGTTTCTCAAAATCAACTTTTTTTTATCTTGCTATGATATGGTTCAGTCTCCATGGAAACTGCAGTGGAGATGTTGAATCCACTGGAGGTGGTGCAGCACATCATGCCTAAGGAGAAGAGATTTTAAAGAACTGCTGTTGGTGTGCACTGTTGAGTGCAGTATGTGTGGCTGTAAGGGTTGAGAGAGAGGAAAACACTTAAAGCCAGACCAAAAAAGTTCTCAAACCACAAAGTTTACTGTAATGTGGGTCTTATGTGATTAGGTTAAGAGTACAGATACAGTTACACACACAGTATGTTCATCCAATCATTAACCCGTGTGCAGAAAATATAACCTCTAACCAGCGCATTTACATTTCCTTTCTCAAGCCTACAGTAACTTTAGAGTTTGTATCACTATGTAACCCTAACCCCTAAAAAAACCCTAAATTCAAATCCTTTCTCTTAATCTTTCTGAGCACTACACACTAGCTAACTTACACAAACCAAAACTTTATCCTAAAACTATGTTGTGACCATATTCAAGTCCCTTTTAGAAACAATGACCAGAAATTCCTCACCTTTCTAATCTTGTGAAAGCATTTAGTTCTTAATAGACTAGAAAACACACACACACATGCTGAGATTCTCCTACTGTAAGCGGTTACCATAGATACCACATGGTGAGACTTATGAAGTACAGTGGGTACATCTCACGTGGGAGATATTGTGTATTTATAGAAGCACTGTGGTGTGGCCAGAAACGAGTAAAGGCACGGCACTTTTTAGGGGGTAATAACAAGCAATGAAATGCTGCGTAAGAGCTACTGTGAAGTACAGTGTACTAACATGCTGTGACTTTGAATTGTCATTGTGTATAGCCACTTCAGTGTAATAAAGATAGTTTGACTGGTAGAACTGTCCATGGTACTGAACAAAATATGTAACGCATTCAAAATATTCATGTCTTGAGCACAAGAGGTTTTCATGTGGTTTTTCTTCTTATCTCTGCCTTTCTTTGTTCTCTGTCTCTGTAGATTTAATTTCCCATCTCATATGATGCTCTTTTTTTGTCAGGAAGCGCCTGTTTTCCAAAGAAAAATGTGAAAAACAGCACTAAGCATACAGCTTAACTACACCCTCCAACTCTGGTTCTGTCTGTGTTCCCCATCCCTCAATAAAGCCAGTGAGGTTTGAAAAGTTTCTTGCAATAATCTGCTGGCTCTGCACCCAGCTGCTTGAGAGGCTGCACTATGTGTTATGGGGAATCAAATACAGAGCACATATCATGGCATGTTTAATTAAATCCTATTTTGCTGAATAATGAACCAATTAACAAACTCCCATTGAAGGCTTTTTTCTTCATCAAAAACATGCTGGATTTCGAAGTATGTTCCCTTATCTTCCCAAAGTAGTTGTACTTCCTAAACTGGCATAATTGAATTGCTACCCACTCTGGCATATGAGGTGTATTGTTCTCATGGAATGAAGCATACCTCATTGCAATCCATCATAATCACTGAGCCTTTCTCATCTCAGTTCAGACGTTAAAGCTAATGAATGGTTCAGTAATTGTATTTTGTGGCAACATTGTCTATTAGATATAATGGCTTCCCATTATTTAAAACTCTTTACTTGACCTGGTCTTTGAAGCCTAATGACTGTTTACAGAGGAGGTATGAATTGGGCCAGACAAAACAGAGAATGAGATGTCAAAAGATGTTGTCTGTGGCACAATAATGAGTAAGACTGGTAAAAGAATCAACCTGAGTGGACTGTTATCTCTATTGAATTTCAGGTTGTAGGATTAATATGTGTTATAATCATCAGCATTTTCATAGCTCCCAATTTAGCCAGTCTGGCCATCTGCTTCTGTACTCTCTGTGCAGCAGTTATTAAAAATGTGTGGCTGGGTGACTGACAGAGCATCCTTGCTTTAAGGCTTGGCATCCAGGAAGACAGTGTTCTAGCCAGGAAGATAGACATTACATTAAAAAGCTGTCCATAAGTCAGTCATCCAGCCATTTAGGAAATGCATCTAGCTACTCAGCAAATCCTATCAATTGGCCATTTAGTCAGCCACTCAGACAATTAATCAGCCAGCAAGCCTCTATATTTAGGAAAATACTGACAGGAAATCAGGTGGATAACCGGGAAGACATGACATAGATATATATATATATATGAACAGACATGTAATTGCATACATGGGATTCTGATATAGGCCATGGCAATCGTCTTTAATCTAAACAATATTGTCTGTCTGCAGACCCAACTCACTGTCAACTATGACTTCAGTATTGTCCTGTGTCAGCCTTGTATGAATACTAAATAGACCTCTGTAATGGGTGGCTTGGCCAGAAAGTACAGTTTAATATCATCTGTGCAATGTGGGTGTGTTTGTGTGCAGTGTATGATATTAAAACAACAAGCTACGAAGGTGGATTAAAGAGTAATGGCCATTGTCTGTGTCGTGTGTGTATACACCACGCATGTGGCCTTTAGTTGCTTGTTCATCCACAACCTCAGCTAGTGCCATTAAATGAGTTGACCTCACGGTTTCTAGGATTAAGATGATCATAGCATTAGGATCAGGTGACTTTGTCTATTGGCAAGCCAACAGAGGAACTGAGACAGCAGTATGTTCACACATGATATTAACAATTGCATCTACAAGTGCTTCTGATACTATACTTTAATTTGTATTTGTACTACTGCTGCTTCTACTTCTCATACTATTGCTACTGCTGCTACTATGTGTCTACTACTCCTACTATTCTTGCTGTTATTCCCACAATACTCCTGTTAAATAAATTAATGCTGCACCTGCCACTTCTACTCCTACTACTGGTACTCTATTTCTTTTACCACTACAGCTCTTGGTTGATGGTTTGTAGAGGACACAGAGAAAGAAAATATAAAAAAGATGTTTAGTAAGATCTGCAATTCACTCAGCAAGGTTACAAGTGTGTTTTCTGTCCCTGAAAGAGATGCCATAGCTCTGTAGTGTTGTACCAAGAGCAACTGTTTTGCTGTGACTTATCTGAAGAATGCATAGGCTCTCTGTTTGTGTGGAATGTGTAAAGACACAAATTCCACTTGTCTTACAGTATGTAAACTTGAAATCCTACTGAGCCTAGTAATTTTTACTATGACTATATAGATAGATCTAAATCTACTGGTGCTAACCAGAGGTTTTGAATGAAGATTAATGTCTAGTCTTCTTTGGACAGAAAAACACTAGATGCACTTGATCTGAAAGTGATCCACTGTTGTTTGCATATGATTCAAATCATGTTTTGAGATCATTACATAACTTTTGTTATGAGTACAAAAGAGACCAGAGTTGAGGGATTATGTTGTGTAATCCGTTTCCACATTTAATGCTGTCTGAAGAATATCCT